CTCAAATTTTGGTAATACAGACCCCAAGTTTGTCTTTTTAATTAAAATTAATATTTTATTAAAATGACAAATATTTTTTTGGTGTCCAATCACACCCTAATAAAAGATTGATGGTGACTCCTCGAACCACGTTTTATCACAAACCGGTCGATACAAAAATCATTTTTGAAACGGGACCACCCCTTTTCTCCCCCGAAAAAAGACCGTTTCGACAACTTGGCGACTCCACTGGGGAATTTTTTTTAGAGAGTCCGGCCTATAGTCGATTAAGTAATTGTCTTTGCAAATGAAAGTTATAAATTCGTTTTAAATTGGTTTTTGATCCCCTGTTTGGTTTTAATATCGTTTGTTCATAATTTAATTAACTAATAAATAGTTGTACTGATCTGTTTGCTAATGGTTTCAGATTAATTATGTGTCTAAAGAAGATTGATTTTCTTAGAGTCTTCTGATTATGTGTTGTTTTTGCTTTTCCTCACACACTGCACAGTTGCATTTGCATAACATGAGCTAAAACCCCGCTCCGTCCTATTTAAGTAGGAGTAAGAAGCTACTCCCTCATGTGGTTTTCACCTCCGTGCGGGATAGTGAAATGCTCCTTGGGCTCACGCCTTATGATCCTCGTGAGGTTTTCACCTCCTCAATGACATAAGGAAGTGTGTCCCCTTGAATTGAACTCAATCCAAAAGCCTGTGATGGGTAGGATTGAGGGTTCGGTAACCCAAGGGGACACCGACAAAGGATAATTCGAGGACCCCTTACTTTAGAACCAAACCCAGCATGTAGTAAACTTAAAACCCAGATACGGCCTTACCCAGACCATATGATCCTGTGAGGAGAGTACACAAGGAAAAGCTTATTTGAGCATTCTTTAGTGAAATTTTAATTTCTCGAATAAATGTATGCCAACTAGAAATCATGCGGTTAGGTTTAATCTCTTAGATAAGCATGTGAACTAGATGCCATGAGGTTAGGATGTTCTATAAACAAAACATTTGGGTAGAAATCATGATTGGGTAGGATCTACTAAAGCATGATTGGGTAGCTAACATGTGGGGTAGGTTTTATCGATAAATTGAATTATGTTTAATCAATTCATTTATGATTGATTTTCTTTTCTTTTGTTTACTTTGTCTTCATCTTGCATTGCACTATTCATCTCATTGGTGTTGATCCATGACTGATGTCCATATAGAAAACTAGTATTATGGAATGAATGATTCAAAAAGAGGTAGAGGAAAATACAAAAGTCTTGATATGGTCTGAGCAATCCCAACTAACAAATGGAGACAGTCTATCACCAGGGTACGTGTCAGAGCTGAGAGGGTATACTCACATCAACGTTTGTCAGAATGATCTGAACGAGCTGAAAGAGATTTGGGGAAGATGGGAAGCGTCCGATAAACAGTTGTTTTATCAACTCCATGGTGACATTTCATATCTCCTTGATGTCTCGATTGATCGGAATCTATTTAGAGCTCTGGCTCAGTTTTGGAATCCCGCGTATAGTTATTTTACATTTGGCTGAGTAGACATGACGCCTACTATAGAGGAATACCGTGCCTTGATTCGCTGTCCGATGTTCCAGGTAGACAAAGTATATACCAAACCCCCGAATACTCTTTCCTTTAAGAAGAAACTTATTCTGATGACTGGTATGAGCGAATAATAGGTTATGAGAGGCATAAAAAAGAAAGGAGACCGCGAATGCATTACTTGAACCCTTCTGAGAGAATTGATTGACTGTCATCCTGATCGAAGAAAGAAGATTGACTTCTTTGCTCTAGGTATCTATGGATTGGTCATTTTCCCGAGAGTTCTCGAGCATATTGATGTATCAATGGTTGACATGTTCGAAAGACTGGATAGACATGTGGATCCTGTTCCAACTATCCTGGCAGAAACATTTCGTTCCCTGAGATCTTACCGACGAGAAGGGGAAGGACGCTTCATAGGTTGTGCACCATTGTTGTTAACTTGGATCCTTAGTCATTTCAAACACGTCGAGAGAGCACCTGGTCGGGTCTTCTTAGATGGTTTTTCACCGTTGAAGGATTTCATTTCTCGGCAGTGGCCTGGGGGTTTTATTGAGGAAAAGTGGATGATCATCTTCAAAAGTATCCGAGACAATGACATTCTATGGCGTACATCATGGAATGTCTCATCAGACATATTGTATCGATGTGGAGACAGAGATTGGGTTCCATTACCCAGTATTTGGGGATCTGTAGGGTATGCCCCGTTACTGGTTTCTCGACAATATGGGTCGAGGCAATTTATTCCGGCAACAAGGGAGCTATCTAAATTTGAGTTCGCATTCAGGGGAGAACTATACAAGAATAAAGTTAAAGGGGCCACTGATGCTTGGAGACACACTCATCGGGTAAATCTCTTTACTTTTGAGTTAAGGTTATCTCAAGGGTACGAGGAGTGGAGAAGTAAAAGAGTCAATGATAATATTCCAATAGGCAACCACGAGAATACTCAGTCTATGGAAGAACACCTCAGGGTGATCCCGTCTCCGCTAGAGCAAGCCAGACTTGATTTTGAGGACGAGAGGAAACAGTGGAGAAAGACGTTACAAAGGTTGGAGGATGAATCATACCAGAGGAGCATAGAAATTAACATCCAAAAAAGTCGAGCTGACCGGATTAAAAAAGTAGAGAAGCAACTTAGATTGGATTTTAATGATCTCCAGTCATCATACCAGGGAATGATCAAGGATCAGGCAGCTACTAGCTCAAGTAAGTCTTCTGTTGAATGGAGACAAGAACTGGCAGGATTGAAAAGAGAAGTTGGGGAAAGCAACGAAGAACTCAAACAGAGCAGGCATCAGGTAAAGATACTCTCGAGAGAAAAGAATGCCCTTGAACAACAACTGCAAGAAAATCAGATCCAAAATGAGAAATTAAAGAATAGAGTCTTGAGCTTAGAGACTGCTTTGCGACGATATCGAAGTCGAGAAAGTAGTTTAAACCATGCTGAAGTGGAAAGATTGATAAAGAGTGTGAATGAACTCGAGGCCTTAGTTCAATATTTGCAAAGAAGAGCAAATGAACTTCCATTGGTCCCTTATGAAGGAGTTCTATAATGGCATTATCGTTGGGAGCAGGCTCAGTGGAGAGTTAGGCAAAGGGAGGATCTCATCGCAAGATACCTACAGCAAGCTCAAGGAGTAGCTCAGCACTTGGTTGACCTGTCACAGGAAGTTGATGATATGATCGAAGAAATGTATCCCGAGGCTGAAGAAAACCAGAAGATTGTGGAATTATTGAGACACATCCAACAATTAGGAGAGATAGCTCAGATGTATCTGTGATATGTTTAATCCATGTAATCGAGCTTCGTTTCCTATATAAAAAGTTGTTCTAAGGAATCGTCCCAAAATCAACACCTTGCATTGCATTCATCTTGCATTCATATTGCATCTACATCGCATTTACTTTTACGAATAACATTCTAATCACATTTTTCACACCCCATTAATAAGCATCATGATTAATAAAAAGATTATGTGGCAGAATACTGGGACCTTCTAAGCATCCGTACAATACACGAAAAAGGGCAATGGATGACAGAATTATCCAAATAGAGAAAGTTCAAGCTGAAATGCAAGAGAATTTAAAGAAAGCACAAGAGGATATGCACGAACAGATAATGAAGGCTCAAGAAGACATGATGGCAAAACTGGTTAGTTTGCTACAAGGAAATAGTATAATCCGAGAAGATTCTCCAGTTATCGGTCCTGCTACTGAGGAACCTTGATATCCCCCTGGCTTCACACCATCACATGTCCACGCACAACAAGCCACGACCATCCAACTGAAAAAAATACAAGTGAACTTACCTGGCTCTTCTACAAACCCGCAACCAATTGAAGATGACCCTGATTTAGATGAGGAAGACAAAAAAGAATAGGATAAGGAGATTAAAAAGAATGGGAACAAATGAAGCATGAATTCTGAGCTATGAAAGATGATGCTAGCCTATATGGAATCGACGCCAGATAGCTAAGTCTGGTCCCTGATTTAGTTCTCCCACCGAAATTCAAAGTTCCAGACTTCGAGAAATTTGATGGCACCAGTTGTCCTTCTGCACATATTACCATTTTTTGCAGAAAAATGACAGGCTATGTGGGAAACGACCAGCTATTAATTCATTATTTTCAAGAAAGCCTGATAAGCATGTAAAAGATGTGAGGCCAAACCGAATGTTGTTACAGAGTATGGAAAAAAGATCCAACGAGAGCTTAGGCAGTATGCCCAAAGGTGGAGAGATGTGGTTGTGCAAGTTCATCCACTATTAGAAGAGGAAGAAACTAATATATTCTTTGTAAATACTCTGAGGGCCCCTTTCTTTGGACATCTTATTGGAAATTCGTCCAAGAATTTTGCTGATATAGTTAATGCAGGAGAAATGATTGAGATGGCGATAAAAAAAGGGAAGCTAGACGGGGGAGAATCTAGCCGAAAGCCTCCAGCGAGAAGAAAGGATAATGAGGTCAGTAATGTGAAGAAATATGATTCTAATAACATTACAGTATCTCGACCAAAAGCCACTATGTCGTTAACACTAAATCCTGTCCAGCAAGGGGTGAAAGAACCAAGATAGGAAAGGGAAAGGGTTCAATTTGACCCTATCCCCATGACCTATAAAGAATTATTCCAGATCCTGTATGAAAAACATGTGGTGTCACCTTACCACGCTTCTCCAATACAGCCTCCTTACCCAAAATGGTTTGACATCAATACTCAATGTGAGTATCATGTGGGGGTATCGGGGCATTCAATTGAAAATTGTATGGCCTTTAAAAAGTTGGTACAGAGATTAAGACAAAGAAATATCATCAACTTCGGTGACAGCGAGCAGCCCAATGTGGCTCAGAACCTACTGCCAAACCATGCAGGGACAAGGGTTAATACTGTTATTGAAGAAAAAGGGAACGGAGTCATTACCAAAGTCAAATAAGTGAAGTCACCATGCATTGGGTATGGGGGCAAATGGTCAAAATAGGCTGGTTGACCTTTAATGCTAACAAAATTAAGCATGCTTACCCCTACCACCGTTGCGAGGATCATGTCATTCAAAACTGTGATGAGTTCAAGGCCTTGGTTCAAAGGCTGATGGATAGTAAAGATATGGAATTTTACCATGAAGCTACGAAAGAGAAAGAGATTGAGATTTGCGCTTCCGAAGGCACATCCAAGGGAGTTTACAATACTAACTGCCCTTTAGTCATCACACCGAAAGCTCGGACTATGGAAAGGTTAATCCCTAAAGTAGTGATCATGCCTCAGTCGTCCTTTCCTTATAAGGACAACAAGCAGGTCCCTTGGAGGTATGGATGCCAATTAAAGATTGTTGAGAGTTCAGAGGCTACTAAGGAAGAGGTGGAAGAGGTAGGACATTTCACCAGAAGTGGGAGATGTTATTCTCCCAACCAGACCAGTGAACCCGAGAAAAGGATGGTCGTTGATAAAGAAAAAAGGGTTGAGATATTATTGAAAAATTATGAGCCGGCAATTAATGAGCCTGTAACCGAGAATGAGGCTGTAGAGTTTTTAAAATTCTTGAAACATAGCAAATACAACATTGTTGAACAATTACACAAATTGCCAGCTCGTATCCCAATCCTAGCTTTACTATTAAGCTCTGAGGCACATCAAAACGCCTTGTTGAAAATCTTGAATCAGACTTTCGTACCGAAAGATGTACCAGTGGAAAAAATAGACCGACTGGTTGCAAATATTCAGGCGGATAACTTCATCTCTTTCTATGATGAAGAGATCCCGTCCGGAATGATGGGCAATCCCAAAGCCCTGCACATTACCATCCAATGCAAGGGACATGTGTTATCGCGAGTACTAATTGACAACAGCTCTGCCCTGAATGTGATGCCATTAGTAACCTTGAAGAAACTACCGGTCGATAGTACACACATGAGAAATTGCCAAAGCATCGTTCGAGCTTTCGACGGAACAAAGAAGGAGGTGCTGGGGAAGATTGATATTCCTTTAACCATAGGCCCATCAACATACGAGGTTGAATTCCATGTAATGGATATAATGCCCTCCTATAACTGCTTATTAGGAAGGCCTTGGATCCACCAGGCAGGAGTCGTGCCATCTACTCTGCATCAGAAACTCAAATTTATAATTGAGGGGAGATTGGTATGCCTTAATGCCGAGGAAGATATCATTGCTTACATATCTACTACAACTCCATATGTCGAAGTAGATGAAGATGCAGTCGAGTGCTCTTTCAGAGCCCTGGAATTTATTAATGCCACCTTTGTTGCCGAAAGAAAGAAAATTCCAAAGCCTAGGCTATCAAACTGTACCAAAATGGGACTGAAAATGACCCTGGGAAGAGGAGCCAAGGTTAGAAGAGGGCTAGGGAGTCGTTTACAGGGGAATCGTAGTCTAATTTTTTCCAGTTTTAAGCGAGATCGTTTTGGTCTGGGATATCGCCCGACCTTAAAGGAAAAATCGAAAAATGTTCAAAAGAGCCAGGAAAAGAGAAGAGCCAAATTAGTCGGGGAGGATATTAAGTGGGAGCCCATGATTTTCCCATCGCTGCGTGACACCTTCATATCTGAGGGCCACATGTTTCAGGGGGGCCAATCATCTAAAGAGCTTGTTATTGAAAATGCCCTGAGGGATTTGGGTATAAATGTGATATCGGAGGAAGGAATCGAAGACGGAATGGCTATGGGCATCTACCCTACGCCATCAGGCTTTGTGCTAAACAATTGGACTGCAGAAGAATTACCTGTAGTTTACAAAACTATTTCAGAGTAATGCACAAAAAAACTTTCCTTATTGTCTAAACCCTGGGACAATATGTGATCTTCTGTAAGGGGTTAATCTATCTGTATTTTATTTTAATAAATGATGCATTCATGTTAATTCACGAAATGGCAAACATCATCCCTTGCATTTTTTTTCTTTCTTTCTTTATTTATTCATTATATATTATTATTTCATTATATTTTGATATGAGATAGATTCTCTTGTATTTGTATATATATATATATATATATATCCTCTCGTTTGTTATTCTTTCAGGACCTCCGGTATCAATAGTGTGAATGTTAATGACTCTGACCCGAAGATAGATTTCGAGCTGCCCATATGTCAAGGGGAAATTGAAGGTTATGATAATGATCAGGGAAGTGACTTACCTTCTGAACTACTAAAAATGGTAGAGAGAGAAGATAAACAAATTTTGCCTCATGAAGAGCCCATTGAAATCTTGAATCTGGGATCAGAGGAAGATAAAAATTGGCACTATCATATCTGTTGAGGGACGACAAAGTCTGATTGAGTTTCTTCGAGAGTACAAAGATGTGTTTGCTTGGTCGTATGAGGACATGCCATGTTTAGACATTGAGTTAGTGGTACATAAATTGCCAATAAAGCCCGAATGTAAACCGGTACAACAAAAGCTCAGAAGGATGCGACCCGAAATGCTGCTTAAAATTAAAGAAGAAGTAAAGAAGCAATTCGATGCTGGGTTCCTAAAAGTAGCCAAGTATCCGGAATGGGTAGCGAATGTTTTTCCAGTACCAAAAAAAGATGGAAAAGTTTGTATATGCGTCGACTACAGAGATCTTAATCGGGCCAGTCCGAAAGATCATTTCCCTCTGCCACACATAGACACCCTGGTGGATAATACAACTGGAAATTTTCTATTTTCATTTATGAATGGGTTTTCAGGTTACAATCAAATAAAGATGCATCCAGATGATATGGAAAAGACTACGTTTGTCACCATGTGGGGCACGTTCTATTACAAGGTGATACCGTTTGGGCTAAAGAATGCAGGGACAACCTATCAAAGGGCCATGGTAACACTATTTCATGACATGATGCATAAGGAAATAGGGGTATATGTCGATGATATGATTGTTAAAGCTAAAATGGAGGAAGAACACATCGAGAATCTGAGGAAACTCTTCCAAAGATTAAGGAAATGCCAGTTAAAACTCAACCCAAGCAAGTGTACCTTCGGGGTAACATCGGGAAAACTCTTGGGGTTTGCAGTAAGCAAAAGAGGGATTGAAGTGGATCCTGACAAGGTCAAAACTATTCAGAATTTACCACCCCCATAAACACAAAAAGAAGTTCGAGGATTCCTGGGAAGATTAAACTATATCGCCCGATTTATTTCGCAATTAACCGAGAAATGTGACCTTATTTTTCGCCTTCTCCGTAAAAATAACCCAGGGGTATTAAATGATGATTGCCAAGGAGCTTTTGAAGCAATAAAAGGATATTTATCGAATGCTCCAGTCTTAATGCCACCAATATCAGGTAAACCATTAATCCTCTACTTGTCAATCTTTGAGAATTCAATGGGGGTGTGTATTAGGGCAACATGATCAAACTGAAAAAAGAGAAAGAGCAATTTATTACCTCAGCAAAAAGTTCACTGATTGTGAGGAAAGGTACTCGCCAATAGAAAAGTTGTGTTGTGCTTTAGTTTGGACTATCCGAAGGCTCAGGCAATATATGTTGTATCACACTACTTGGATGATATCTGAACTTGATCCTCTGAAATATCTAATGGGTGTACCTACTTTATTTGGAAGATTGGCTCATTGGAAAATCTTATTATTTGAATTTGACATCCAATATGTAAGCCAAAAAGCAGTTAAAGGAAGTGTTGTGGCCGATTTCATTGCAAGTAGGACTTCTGAAGAGTATGAACCACTGAACTTCGATTTTCCAGACGAAGATTTAATGGTTATTTCAATTGAGGAGGCAGTTTCCTCTAATAATGAATAGTGGAAGATGAATTTCGATGGTGCCTCGAATGCTTGGGGCACGGGATTGGGGCAATTCTCGTCTCACCTGGTGGAAAATACTATCCTTTCACCAGCCGATTGAATTTTGATTGCACAAATAACATGACCGAATATGAAGCATGTATTATGGGTCTTAGAGCGGCCATTGAGTGTAAAGTGAAAACACTCAAAGTATACGGGGATTCAGCACTGGTAATTTATCAACTCAGAGGTGAATGGGAAACAAAGGATACAAAGTTGGTGGAATACCGTAAGTTGGTCCTAGAGCTCATTAAAGAATTCGAGAGAGTGACATTCCATTACCTTCCCAGAGAAGAGAATCAAATGGCGGATGCTCTGGCCACTTTGGCAGCAGCCTACAAAGTCAATGAATATTCAAGCATGATGCCTATTACGATGCAAGCTTACGGGTATCCAGCCCATTTTTATAGCATAGAAGAGGAAAATGATGGAAATCCCTGGTATTACGACATCATGCAATACATTAAATATCAAAGCTACCATGAGCATGCCACTGAGAATGACAAAAGAAATGTTCGAAGAATGACGGTAGGGTATGTGCTTGATGGTGATATCTTGTACAATAAGAGTCATGATCAGGTCTTGTTGCGATGTATGGATGCCAAAGAAGCCAGAACGATTATTGAAGAAGACACGAAGGAGTATGTGGTACTCATGCTAATGGACACACAATGGCTAAACAATAATGAGATTTGGATATTATTGGTCAACCCTAGAAACTGATTGTATCAATTTCTCCAGAAAATGTCACAAATGCCAGATTTATGGAGATAAGCTCCACACCCCTCCTCATCAATTGCACGTAATGACTGCTCCGTGGCCATTCTCTATGTGGGGCATGGATGTCATTGGGCAAATTTCACCCAAAGCTTCTAATGGCCATCGTTTTATATTCGTGGCAATAGACTACTTCACTAAGTGGGTAGAAGCGGCCTCCTATGCAAATGTCACTCAGTCAACAGTTTGCAAGTTCCTGAAGAGAGTTATTTGTCGGTATGGGCTACCAGAAAGAATCATCACCGATAATGCCTTGAATTTAAACAATAAGATGATGGAGTCAGTATGTAAACATTTCAAGATTAAACATCATAATTCCACCACTTATCGCCCAAAGATGAATGGAGCGGTAGAGGCAGCTAATAAGAACATCAAGAGGCTCATACAGAAAATGACTGAGACTTATAGAGACTGGCATGAGAAGCTATCATTCGCTCTGTTTGCCTATCAAACTTCAGTGAGGACGTCCACTGGGGCAACTCAGTTTTCTTTAGTTTATGGGATGGAGGCTGTGTTACCCATCGAGGTCGAGATTCCGTCACTACGAGTGCTGTTAGAGGTTAAGTTAGATGAAGCAGAATGGGTGCAAGCTAGGTATGATCAGTTGAACCTGATTGAGGAAAAAATATTAAAAGCTATCTATCATGGGCAAATGTACTAGAAACGTATGATAAGGGCACATAATAAAAAGGTTCGTCCACGAGAGTTTCAAGAATGAGACTTGGTGCTAAGAAAGATTTTGTCAATTCAGAAAGACTTTCGAGGAAAATGGATGCCAAATTGGGAAGAACCTTATGTGGTAAAGAAGCCCTTTTCTGGAGGAGCTTTGATCCTCACCGAGATGGATGGACCAGAGTTACCAAACCCTGTGAATGCTGATGTAGTCAAGAAGTATTCCGCCTGAAAAAAAATGAAAAAGACTAAAAAATGAAAAATGAAAGAAAAAGGAAAGAAAACAAAATGAGAAAAAAATAAAAGAAAAAATAAAAGGAGGGTTCAAGATGAAAACCTGTAAAGGGCGTCTTGAAACTAGAGAAGGTCTCAAGTTGAAAACCCGTAAAGGGCGGCTTGAGAATTGTGTAAATTCAGAATTCGTGCATGGTGGAGCTGAATTAGTTGGGTAACCAGAAAGTAAATGAGATTCAAACACTGGCTTATGGCATTCAATAGTCGGGAATTTGGCAGTATAGGGGGAACTTCACACCCTTACGCATTATCATAATCCTCAAGATCCCCTTGAAAGAAGCTACACTCGGGTCCTCTTACGGCGTGCCAGTTCAAAAGCATTCGTACTATTGATGTTTGATGACGCCTACTGTGTTTCCTTTTGATTATTCCAGTTAAAAGTTTGTCATGTATTCATCCAAAAACTCTTTATTTATAAATAAAAAGATGTTTTTAACCGCGTTGCAAGCATTCTGATTAAAAATAAAAACATGTAGATTAGCTCGGGAAACATGAGATCATTGTGCATTATTGTACAAAAAGTTTTGGAAAATGCAGATATTCCGAAGCTGAAAATGGTTTTAGCATAAGGCTTACACAATGTCATGCCACAAGAAGTTAAAGCCTTGAGTTACACGTGATTGCTCAACAATGTGGGATAACCAAAGAGGTTTTGTCACTGATTAAATAATAGAAGCACATGGGTTCAAAGAGTAAAGAGAATCAGAGTCAGGCTCAACCAAAGAGTTTCCAATTAGGGTTTTTGATCGAGATGAATTGTTGTTGATTTGTTTATACCCAAATCAGTCTGAAGTACAAGGACGTTAACAAAAGAAAATTCTCGTTTGTAAAGAAAATACCCTCAAAATAACTGCATCATTGCACACATTTTAGGCATAAACAGGATCATGACATAAAATGCATAATAATGAGTGCTTGCAGGTTTTTTTTAAAAGAAAGGATAGAGATGTAAAGACCCAACATAAAAATCACCAATTCGAATTTCCATGTTTGGTCGTGGCGAGACAAGCTTCCACAAAAGAAATCACTTCTAAAAATATTATCATCCCGAGACTTTCAGGTATGATGTTTTGGAATCCTCAAACACATACTAATAAAGGTTAATGTTTAATTTCCAAGTTTGATCTCAATTCAATGGATCAACTTTCCAAGATCTGATATTCCCTC